TAAGATTTTCTTTTAGGTTGGGAACTAGTAAGACATCATGGATGATTTGCGTACTTTTATTTGTCTCCACCATGATAATGCATTTCTTTTTTATTCTACAACATTGTCATTTCCTAGTCGAACTTTGACTTTCACAGACTCATCAATGCTTTTGAAAATAGTTTCATCTTTGACCAACTTTCTCTGATTGAGTCTTCAGTGGCATATAGCATACATTGATCTTGATATTGCGTGGAGGATTTTTATCTAGTTTGTTCTAGAGAAAATTTCTAGAAACTTCTCTTCTTCTAGAAGTTTCTCCATATTTTTTTTTCTTTTCTCTATTTTCTTTTCTCTATTTTCTTTATTTTGGGATTGAAATTTGAGCTTTGACTTGAAGGTATTTTCAAGTGTATCTTCTTTATATAAAGTTTTTTTCTCATATGCTTCAAGGTAGCCCACTACTTTTGTCACTGATAGAGTGGACAAATCTTTGATTTCCTTAATCGTTGTCACGATTGGGTCAAACTTTGCGGGGATGATAATCAAAATTTTCTCAACAATTTTGTTGTCAAGAATATCCTTCCTAAAAGCTCTCACTTGATTAATTATTTCTTTAACATTAGAATAATAATCTTTAACTGTCTCAAAGTCATTCATTTTCAATAGTTCAAAATATCTTCTTAGAGATTAGAGTTTAACGACTCATATCTTACCGCTTCCTTCAAACTCCCCTGCAATGTGCTCCATGCTTCTTTGGAAGTCTTAGCTTCCATAATTCTTGAAAAATTGCATCAGTCACGACTTGTTGCAAGGTGAACAATTCCTTCAAATTTTTTTATTTATTTTTCTTCGACTCTTTTTCTTGAGCTACATTAGGAACTGAAGTACCTGCTGGAGCGGTTAGGCCTTCTTCTTTTATGTCCCATTAATCTTGAGATGAAAAATGTCTCAATTTTAACACGCCAAAAACCATATATAATTTTCACCATTGAAAATAGAGACATAAATATATGATGATTGAGTGGTGTTATCTATAACTTAGAAAAATTATTGGAGTGGGTTATTAGTACAAGAGAAATTTTTAGAAATAGTTGGAAATATTTTTGAATAGTAGCTAGGTAATATAACTACGTCCAATGTATGACTAAACGTAGCTTTGATGCCATTATTGGTACACTACTATGGAAAATCCATACCACACCAGTTGGAAAAGGGATACTACTACGCATGACCAACCGTTATGACGTAAATGGTGATTGTATGTTTAGTGCTTTCAACCATGGTCGCGAAACCGTAGTAATAAGGAAGGGCGCGTGCTACCTATCACAACGATTACGCTTATCAACCGTCGTGATATATATATATATATATATATATATATATATATATATATATATATATATATATATATATATATATATACTGGGTTTGAAACCCAGCAACAACAATTTATTTTAAATATAAATAATATTTTATCATGGTTATAATAGATAACCATTATGGAAAGTACTTAGAGTTTATTATATAATATGTAGATTTATTTATTTTTCCATACACATCACTAAAAAAATACAACCATTCAAATTGATGAAGAAGTATATAATATGAAAATTAAACTATTCTTGAAAAATAACTTAAACAAACCACTGTTTTTCAAAGTGCATGCATGTCACAACTCATATCTTAATTTTTAACATTTAGAATATGGTTCAATGATATAAGTCCTTTATGGCATCGATTCCTTCCCATCTAGTTTAATTTGAATATCATCAATTTATTGACCAACTCTATCTCATCATGGTCACTTATCATGATGATTATGATGATGACTTGTCATCATAACAATCATGATGATAAGCGACGATGATGAGGTAGACTTGACTAATAAATTGATGTTATTCAAATTAACTATAAGAGAAGATGTAGATGCAATGAAGGAATCAATTCATTTGAACCATATTCTATAGGTTAAAGACTGTGAGATGAATTATGAGACGAATGCAATTCAAAAAATATTGGTTAATATAAGTTTATTTTCAAATACAACTTAACTTTAAGATTATAAGTTTATATGTAAATTTAAATGAATATATTTTAAGTGAATAATTAGTGAAATAAACAATCTACATACGATATAATAAACTCAACTTGATCTTTTGTCAATCTGCATAAGAATTTAAAGAACAAAATATTGCTAAGTCACAAGAAGCCTCTTTCTTGTGACTTAGAAATATTTTGTTTTTGTCCTGAGAATGTTAATCTACAATAAAAACATACACCAATATTTATCAACAACACAACAATAATATACAACAACATACAAAAATATACATTTTATCAACTAAACACGGACAACATACAACAACACAAGATATAATAAAACATTTCAAGAACAAACCTTTTATTGAAAATAATCGTGGAACTGAAATCAGTGGTGAAGCCCATCAAGTTTATGATGCTATAAAAAGAAAATACAAGGTAGATGAAGTTTACACAATAGTTTCATACTTCTTGTATTATTTTTTATAGAAACATAAACCATATGTACCATTGCCAAAGTATGTGCTTTGTTAAGATAATTTTCTTCATTCACTTTCCCTATAAGTATAAAATATATAAACACCACGACATTAACTGTATTACATGGAACATTCACCAAATGAAAAAACTAGAAACTATTTTAAACAAGAAATGTAAACAAAATTGGAGCATAAGTTTAATGAACGAACATGAAGATAGCGATTGGCGAAGACGAATCTGAAGGTTGGAGTATGAGTGATGACTGACATGGATGTTAGGGTTATGTTTTTGAAAGAGAAGAGTGATAAGTGGCAAATTGTGGTATTTTTGAGTGAGAATAATTGATACTTATTGACTTGATTCATTAGTTTTTCTAGCAATAACCTCAACTATAGTGTGAATAAGTAATCGTTTCATATAATTTTATCGATTCATGTAAATATCATTGAGTTTGATGATTTTTATCTCATTTTTGTAGTTATTCAAGAAATTATATTTATTCATGGTAATATAGAGCATTGAATAAGTTTTCCAACCCATCTGACCGTGCATAAATCGGAGTTACGGTTCTTAAGTTATGACAAAAACAAGAGCTGAATTTTTCTCTCGACACAATAGAGTGCACTAAGCAAGCTCTGAGATGACTAAGGGAGGTCTTTGACTTTGAAAGTGTATAAATAGAATTTTAGTCAGATTTGTAGGGCATGATTTTGGATATTTTTTGCTCCAAACTCCATTAACTTCATTCTTTGATGTTAGAGCTTAAAAAACAATAATGGAGTTTGCATCTTGATGATTGGAAATCAGATTTCTCATCAATCGCGATTGACACCGCGAGAGATGTTTGGTTCTCTTCTCCTCTTCTCTTTGTATTCTCTACTTGTTGGGGTTTATATGTAAGTTTGCTTTGATTGTATGTATATTTGTTGATCATGGTGTTGTATACTATCTATTTCCCAAATCAATATAGATGGTTGCTTGATTTATGTTAGATAGTTGTTATAGACATATACGGTTCAAATCTAAATTTAGGATGAACATCTATTATGTTCTAGACTCTACAGATAGATTTAGACCTAATAATCAGTATGGGTATCAATGTATAATGCCTATGTATTGTTGAGTTACGTGAAACATCACTTCTTAGACAATACAATTGCTCTCTCAACTCCGCGTTAGACATAATCTCTATTGTAAGCGATACGTGATGATATTGATGAGTGATTTAGGTTGCGTACAACTGATCAATAGATTTAAGTATTTGACGGGTAGATGAAATTCAAACTCGGAAGGGTTCTCTCCTCTCTTAGAATGCATTTATTTTCTTCTTCATAATTTATTTTTTGCACTTTACACTTCTAAACCATTCAAAATCAAGCTCAGAGACGCGAAAATTATTGAACAACATTCTTTCTCTCGCACTAATCCCTGTGGAGACAATAAAACAAAAATACTTACTTTTACTTGTTGCTTTACCACAACAACAAAGAGTGAAATATGTTAGAGTTTTCTTTTGAGAGAAGTGGCTGTTATGTATTGAGCGAGAGATACTTTTGCTTATACATATTAAAAAATATCACTTTTCATCACGATTGACAAGAATAATTGTGATGAAATGATTGAACTTCACACCACTGTTGACTAAATTAACCGTGTGATGATATACCTTTTTGTGGCGATAAAATGAGATATTGAAGGAGCTGAGATTCGAACCATGTAACTTCTGGTACATTTTACTATAGATTTTAACATTTACCTTAGTGAAATATTTTTTAGTAAAAATATAAAAAAAAGCGCCCAAAAACAAGATTCTACCACGATTAATGAAAGATCGTTGTAATATTGTTTGACGAAAGATATTTTCCGTAGTAGTGGTATTTGAATAGTTGATAGTTGATATAAGATAGTTTTAGAGAATTGTTTAGAAAGAAGACTATAGAAGTTTTTGGATGATCAATTACAAAGTACAAATTGCATATTTATAGACTCAAGTCACCAATCTCTCAATCTCAATGGTGGTGAATGTTTTTAAATTATTTTAGTTATTTCTAAATATTTCATGATAGATTAGTATCATAGTAGTTATAAGTTCTGCTAATATTTCCTTATAAATTATATCTATGAGAATTCTAGAAATTTGTAGTAATTTCAACAGCTACATATTAACGTTTTTGTTTCATCAAATTTTATATTATTTTATTTTTTTTAAATTTTTAATTTCATTTTACATAAACCTACCTGGAACCCCACATGCAAGTTATTAAATTAAATTGTGATATTGTTTTTATATTCATATTTAATGTGCCAATTAAAACACCACATGCATATGTTCAGAATATGTTTCACTCCTCTCTTTCTATATATACAAACTTTCAAAACAATGAAACTCAAAACAGCAACATTAGCATCAAACTATAGAAGAAATCCTCTATTTGAGAAATCCAATTTCATCAAAGAAGAAATTCAAAGGACTTAAACAAGTCACATAAATCAAAACCATGGCTTATTGGTCCGCAGAAAATGCCACAAAAGCCTTTCTCAGCACTTTGAAAATGGTCAGTATATTAATCACTTTTTTTCTGTCACAAGTTTTAAATGAATATATTATCTTGTAATAGTTTTCCTTTCTACAACAATTTTTTTCTGATCTGATTTTTGATTATTTTTGTATAGGATCAAAAGGCAAAAGAACCATCGGTTGCTGAATATATATCAGCTTTAGCAGCTGGAAACAATGCACAACTAATGGTAGTAGCTTGTGCTGCTGCAGCTGATTTAACAACATTTGCACTAATTGCTGCTGCTAATCAAACTAATGGCAATGTCATATGCATTGTACCTAACAATCAAGATCTACTTGCATCCAAGAATTTCATAGGAGAAGATTCAAATAAAGTGAAGTTCATGATTGGCAAAGAAGCACAAGAAATAGATGTACTAAACAAAGCTGATTTTGTGGTAATTGATTGTAATCTTGTGAACCATGAAGAGATTGTGAAACTAGTACAAATTGGTGGTGGTAATAAGCAAAATGGTGTAGTTGTTGTTGGTTACAATGCTTTTGGTTGTAAAGGGTCATGGAGATCATGTGGATCCAAAACTCAATTGCTTCCTATTGGAGAAGGGTTGTTGGTTACAAGATTTGGATCTGAAATGTGTAAGAGTGGTCGAAGTCGGTGGATTGTGAAAGTAGATAAATGTACAGGTGAAGAACATGTTTATAGAATTAGAATTCCACAAGGAAAAGTTATTTAAGCCTAATTGTTATTACTGGTGGCCACTGGTGGCTTTTCGAGTGCGAGGAGACCAAGCGAGGATGGTGTTAAAATGACAGTTTGCATAACAACATGATCTAGACTACTGTTGATCAAAATGCATACTTGGAACTTAAATTGTTCAATCTTGATTTCAGAGTACAGATTTGCATAACAACATGATCTTGCAAGTACTTCTCCATTTATTTTTTTGGGAAAAGATGTAAAAATCTAGGACTTAGTCCTATTTCAAATGTACAATAACAAAAACACATGAGACGGATCAAAAGCATGATCCTGAATAAAATATTACGGCGGAAGTTAATGTATGTAGTTAATCTCACTTAATAGGATAATAGTTGGTTGTCGTTGTGGTTATCGGGGTATATATATATATATATATATATATATATATATTAAAATTCTTAAAAATAACTATTGTGTTGATTGAATATGGAGTAAAACAAAAACAATGAAAAGTTATAAAACTATACTACTTGAGTTAGGCCTTTTATAACAAATAGCATGAATCCATGTGAAACAAAGGCAGCATTCAGCAGCAAGGGACAGGTTCCAACGTGGGACATGTGGTTTTGTCTCTGGTTTTGTCCCTGCAATTACACCAACAACCTTCCTGTAATTATAGTTGCATAAATAATTAGCCAAAGTGCAATATTTATATTACAAGCACACCAGTACAATATGTTATCTTCTATTATTATTTTATATATTTTTGCAAGTAACACAAACAACTAATAACTAACCAAAAACTAACTAATTAAGTAATATCTTCTAATATTCACCCACAAACTTGACTTTGAGTGGAAACAAATCCAAACTTGGCGAAGAAAGATGAAAATGCCGATTTAGGGAAAGTATTGGTCAAAAGTACATCAGCAATTAGAGCATAAGATGGAATGGGAAAACAGGTGATGAGGCTTTTTTCCAATTTCTCTCTAATGATACATTCAATATCGATGTGTTTGGAGCACTCGTAGAAAGTAAGGTTGTGTGCTAAGTACCCTGCAGATCTCTTGTCATAGTAAATTTTAAATGGAGTTGGCTTGGAAAATTAAACATGTAGGTTCTTAAAGAGGTAATGCAACTATTGGACACATGTGAGACTTGCAAGAGTTTTGTATTCGTCTTCTGAACTTGAGCAAAAATCAGGGTTGGAGTCAGGATTAAAATCTAGGGAATTCTCATAATGAAAGTAAAACATTAAAAAAAATGTTCGAAAAAATTAATGACAAGATATATGATAATATTACTTAATAAAAATGTAAAGTTATTTCAATTACAACACAAAAAATAGAAAATATTTCAGTCTAATCGTAAATGCATTCTTCTCTTGTTCATTCTTTGAAAACGCTTGATGATATCCATATCAACGATTGTATTAAACACCTCTTTCTCCACAAATGTCACTAAGCAATCATTTAGCAATGGATTAGTCATTCTACTACTCAACTCATTCTTAACATATTTTATTCCCGAAAATACTTTCTCAACACTTGCACTGCCCACCGGTAAGGACAAAGCTAGTTTGACAAGTGTGTACACAAACTTAAATGTCTTATGCTTCTTTGTTCGAACAAGAATCCTACAAAGTTTCGAGATGGCAGTCAAATTGGAAAAGTGATTGTCCATCTTGGCACTTTTAATATAAGTATCCAACTCACTAGACAATTCCTTATATGTAAGATCCTCAAAGTCATTTTGGATACAATCTTGCCAATCTCACAAGTGATTTAATGTCAAATGCTTCAAATAAATAACAAGGACTCAAGCAAGCAACACAAATCATCAAATCAGTATTTTCAGGTGTAAGCCGATCATTATCAACTCTTTCAATACCACATCTATGACATGTAAGAAGCAATCAGTCTTGAAATAATAAAAATTTGTAACAAAAGGATCAAATCGTTTGGATTTATTATCTTTAACATACCGAGACTCTATGTCAGGAACATCAATTTCAACATTAGCACAAGAAGCCACAACTTTCTCATAAAGTGCTTCCCATCCACCATCTCTAAATTCTTGCATATTTGGACAAGTTCCATGGCATGCACAATATCTTGATCCCCCTTTTGCAATGATTGTGACAAATTATTTGTTAAAGATAAAACCGCAACCATTAAGTGCAACATAAACACAAAACCAATAGTTTGCATAACAATTAACAAACTTTTTGGTCCACCCTTACAATGACTATCACTTTTCAAATCTTCAAACACTTCAATAATAAGAGTAAACAAATTAACCAAACCTATTAAGAGTCCGAAAGTGAGATCCCGACGTATATCACCCGCTCTTGCAATTGATTAGTCTTGATTTAAACCAGTATCAATGTCCACCAATTCTTTTTCATTAGATTTGTAAAATGAGCAACTTGTTTATTCTGAAGTAGAGCTTGTCTTTTTTTTAGATGACTGTAAAAAAGTAACAATACGAGACACTTCAAAAAAAAAGTAATCAACATCTTCACGCTTTCTCGCCATTGAAACAAGAGCCAATTGAAGTTGATGAGCAAACCAATGTTGCCTTCTGTAGCCTACCTCAATCTTCTATATCTTGGTTAGGTGTTTAGTCGCTTTGGACATCACATTTTTGTTTCACATCTCATTCCTGCTTGTTTGCTTCGAGTGATCCGCTCCCTTTAGCTAAAGCATTTCTCTACTTTTATATTCCACTCTCGCTTGTTTGCCTCGGGTGATTCTCTCCCCTTGACTAAAGCATTTCGCTTATTTTCTTTACCATTTCGTGTGTGTACTCTCTTGAGCTTGTTTGATTACTCGTATGCTTTCATTTCTTCTTGCTTATGCCATGTTCTCTTAAGATGTGCTTGCTTCTTTTCAGATGTGAGTTAGACCCTAGGCGATAATCCATGCATGCAAACATTAGGTAGACATTTCCATTTTGTTAATCCAAATCTTAGAACCACCATTCTATGATAATATTAGGATTACAAATAAACTAGTCTCCCTTAGACTCTTTTCTTCCTCTTTTGCATATGCATTTAAACTAAAACTTTATTTTCCTTAGCAAATTATAAAACATCTTAATCACACTTGAACCCTTTTTCAAGGTAACAAATTATAAACCAATCAAGTGTGACATTTTTCCTTGAGGGCGTAATTCAAAACCATTTTTAGGTAAGGACATGTTAATTTACTTTTGTGCCAACGCATGAGTCTCCAAAGATCGAGTTGCGGCATAAGTCAGAATTAACATTGTTTAAAAACACTAAACAAACAAAAATAAGTGATTCGAACTACGGTAACACTGATTCCTCAAAAAGGATACGTAGGCATTGGGGTAGGGCCCAAGCGAGCACAACTTTATTTTCCCTACATTATTTTCTCCTTTATTTTGTATGCATTCTTCCTCAGTAGTATAGTAAGCATAGATTAAATACGCCCATAAGATAGATAACAAGAGTGGATATCATAGAGTGTTATGGGCGTGTGGGGTGTTAATACCTTCCCCTCGCGTAACAGACTCCCTTACCCGATCTCTCAGTCGCAAGACCGTGACTTCTCCCTTCTTAGGCTTTCTCAATGTTCACATTTCTCTTCATGTGGGATAAAAGACGTTCGATGGCGACTTCATTGTATGATGATTTTCAGCCAGTTGTTTCAGCTGGCGACTTCACTAGGGAAAAATCAACCAATTGCTGGTCCATCCCGGAGTCGCTCCTAACTCGTGTTTCTTTTCTTCGGGTGTTTATTTTTATGTTATCTCTTTTTATGCTTTCAGTTTATTCATTTGTACAAGATTATCTGAGAATATATTTGGACTGCATTTTATTGCATTCCATATTGGTTATCTGCTATGCTGGCTTCTAGTTTTCCATGTTGGGTGGGTGTTACTATGAGGTAAAAGGCCCAATATCCAGGCTAGAGTGCACTATCTAGGAAACTTAGGAATAGAGTAGAACATGACGGCTATTGGACGAAGGTCCTACCAACGCAGTCATGTTGTATATGCTCAGATGAGATTTAATAGGAGTGTTATCTCCATCCACGTATGTGGCTTGATGGTTGTGATTTCAGAAGAACCCATGATTTTGAGTTACCATTGGCTTACCCTGACCTAGTCTTTACCCGTGAATAGGGAGGGTATAATCTTTATAGGTATCGTTGGTGACTTATACTGTTGGTGACTTGTTCAGTTGGTGACTATATTTAGATAGTAACCGTATATTCTGTTGGTGACTATGAGGTTCTCAGATATATTTTCTGAGTTCTAAATTTGATGTTTATGAGGTTCTTCTGTTTATGTTTCGGACTCGTGGTCCTGGTACTAGCAGAATATGCAGAGACAATACAGTAGAAATCAATATCATGGAAGTAGTAATCCCATGATCAATTGCACTTGCATCATATCATGTTTACTTTTTATAAGAAATGTCTGAAAAATGAAACTATATACTAACCTTGCATGTGCATGTCCATTCCGGGGTATTTCACGAAGTTATAGTTTCCATAAGAAACGCCTAGAAACAATGATGTTTCCAAAAGGACCAGAAGAGACAATTTTACTTATCATTTTCGCCCAAGTTCTCGACCTTCTTTGAAGAGTTTGATAGACCGTTTAGTCCATCCTAATGCGAAGGCTTTCTGTGAGAGACATGATGGCATTTTGACTATGATAGGTGTTAGGGTTGATAATGGAGCTCTCCGGACTCTACTTCATCTTTATGACTATGAGTTATGTTGTTTTACCTTCCAGGACTATCAGACCACCCATATTTTAGAAGAGTACTCTCATTTTCTCTAAGTCACCGAGCACATGCCGTTTGTTGCTGTCCCGAACGAGCCCAATTTTGAAGTTATTGCTAAGGCACTTTATTTGGGCTTTAGTGATGTCACAGAGATAGAGAAATAATACTAGCCTACCCTTGACTTCTTGGTCGATAAAGTAGGATAAGTGGCTAAAAATTGTACTTGGTGTGTGTTCAACGAATTGTTAGCTGCTGCAATCTATGGCACGGCC